CTAAAAATGTATTTTAAATTTTTATTTTTTGCATTTAAAAGACTCGGTTTGATTAATTAGATCATGAAGCCAATCAGTATCAAGTTAAATGACTAAAAGTAAAATATACTTATTAAAATCAAAGAACCAAATTAAAACATTGTGTAAAGTTAAATGACTAAAAATATATTTTAGTTTTTTATTTTTTGCATTTAAAAGACCCAGTTTGATTAATTAGATCATGAAGCCAATCAATATCAATCGATCAATTAATTAAAAGTCATGTTGAAAATCTATGCATTATTTTTACTTTTGCATTTAAGAGAGTCGTTTGATTAATTGGATCATGAAGTTAATTGATTGATTAATCAATTAAAATGAGTTTTGAGAGGCTGAAATTGGAGAGCCCGAGAAGAAAAGAAAGAGCCGAAAGGATAAACCCAAATGAGTATGGGCCATAGTGACTTAATTCAATGTAATTGTCACTTGTTCATGGAATATGCCCTAAAATTCGTTCAACTAGGTTATTATTATTTTTTATTTCCTCTATTTTAATCATCCCACCGAACATGAAATTGACCATTAAGATTGTTTTTTTAACCAATGCGTCACATTAATTATAAAAAAAATCTTTGTGCTTCATCTATCACTTTGAAATTTCAAGAAAACGATGGCAAAAAAAAAACAGAGAGAAAGAAAATTCAAGAAAACATTAATTATTATTTATTCAATTGTTTTAGAAACATAATGCAGCAATAACTGCAAAGATGAATATATACTAAAAAAATATTAAAAATTTGTGATATATTTAGTTATATTTTTTAAACTACGTACTGAAAACCTAATTGAACGTACACGTTCGTACTTTTTAATTATATTTTTTCAAAATTAACTCTGTGTGTGTTCGGCGGCATTTTGCCCCGCAAATTAATATGCCTTGAGACACTATTATATGATTGATTTTTGAGGTTAACAAAATACGATTTATTTTGATTTTTCTCTTGGTCTCAGCCCTCATACATACATTTCAATTTTTTAAAAAAATGTGAGACCTTTAATTGTAATTAGTTTTATTTATATTTTCCTATTTGTATTTCGCCCCGTATTTATTTGTTAATTTATATTTTATATACTATATAGCATCGCTAACAAGGTGGTTGCAAATTTAATCATAAACCCTACAACCTTATCCTTTAATGGTCCATATGTGGCCGGCTGGAGAGCCCAAAATTGACTGCTCACAATCATAATTGATTTGAGTCATCCGGCTGCTTTCATATTGGCTATATCTCCTTTTCATTTATAGAAGATAGCCATATTTGCGTAAACAAGAAAAACAGCTGGCAAAAAAATCAATTTAAAAAGGATTTAATTGATTTTTATTTTTTGGGGCATATGAATACTGTTATTGAAGACAATAATATTTGAGACACTGTTAGAGATTACATATAGGCTTTTTTTCTAATAGTAATTCAAACTTTAGTTTACAATAACTAACATTTTTTGCTAGACTCAAAGAGTGTTTGGTAACCCCAAAAAGTGATTTTGAAAAACACATTTTTCACAAATTGAGACAGACTCCTCTATAAAATTACTTCGTATACCGTAAAAACACTTTTAAAATCATAATTTTATTTTTACCCAAACACCCCTTTCAGTTTTCATTAGCAATCAATTTTGATTTGATTAGCACTGAAACCACAGTCCAAAGGCCCATATCTAATGATATTAAGATAAATAAATATAATTGTTTTTTGGAGTAATTATATTAAGATTAATTTTTTTCATTCTTTTTTTTTCGAAAACATTATTTTTTATTGCTAGTCTTTAAAGAATGATTTCGTTAAATGATTATTTTCTTAAAAAATAATTTTTAAACAGTTGAAACTTGAAACTGCATTTGGACAATGTAAATTTCATTTTATTGCGGTAAATAACCATATCCATAACTGTGTTATAAACACGAAACCAAAACTCCGCTGTTATACTATTTATAAATAGTTTGATTAGGTAAGTGTGTATTTATATAACCAACCAGAGTTGAATCAAGCAGAGGGTTAATTTTTTGCAACGTGATAAATTAAGATTCAAATCTCTTATATATATTTATTAGATATCATGAATTAATTTTTTACAGAACTAAAATTCAAATCTCTTTATATATATTTATTAGATATAATGAATTGATTAATTTTTATTAGTACTTTATGTCAAACTTTGGGTTAGTGGATAACCTAGCTTGGGTTGACATTATATAACCTAATCCGCTGGCTAATATTATTGATAGTCTTTATAGTTTTGATTGAATTTTGATTTTGGTTGGTGTAATTTCAAATCGTTAGTTTTGATCTTTATAATTTCTTAACCATTTAGTCTGAATTTAATGAATGATCCATGTATTTTTGACGAATTTTGATTTTTGTCCTATACTTAAATTTATATTTAAGTCCTTGTAAAATTATGGGGACTAAAACTAATAATTTAAAGCTACAGAGATCATAATTAAAATTAAATCATACTGTAAACACTATATCAATTTTTAAGATAATTTAAAATCTCCATGAATAAAATTTTTATTGAATCAAATTCTAAGAGTAGTATTGCTTTTTCAATAACTTGTCACCAACCCAGTTGTTTATGTTGTTCGTTAAGGACTTCAAATGAAAGGCATGCGAAGTTTCTTTTGACAAAAAAAAAAAAGGGGTATGCAAGTAATTTTGTTTTATAATTTTATCCCATATTAGTCCCTGGGAAGTAGGAATTTTGGGTTAATTGAGTTATTTCAAAATTAAGAGGCATATTTTTAACTTTAAGATTTTTTTTTTGTCTCTGTCCCCTAAAAAAAAAAAACCCTTTACAACGTGTGAATTTGTAGAAAAGGCCTTTTACGTATTATTATTATTACGTAGGCCCAAAGCCACCGCCCACACAATTATTGTCTCTGTCTCGTATGCCATGAATTTTTTTAAATTTTTTTAATTGAGGATTACGGCTCCCACTATTTTTAAAGCTACACAACTTTTACTTAAAAGAAGTCCGCGAAGGAAAATAATTTCTAGAAATTGGAATTTTTTTCCCTTGTTTTTTTTTCCCAAAAGACGGAATTGGAATAACTAATTATGCATGAGCCTCTCATTGTTTTTAAGGAAATGGAATTTAATACAATTATTTGATATTACAAACTAAGTCAAATATAATAAATAGATATTAAGACTGTTTAACGTTCCATTAGGATTAAAGTTGAGCATACAGCTTAGATTTTAACCCTAAAACTTTTTGATAAAAGGATAATAAGCAAAACCCTTTATTTTGATAGAAATAAAACATAAAGAAAGAGGAAAATGAAATGAATGATAGTGTTAAGGGAAATTAAAAGATGAGAATCAACAAGCTTGAAGGCGTGCTGCCCAAACGTTCGTTTTACCTTAGTCCAAGAGTTTTAAAATACTCCCTCCGCTCCCAAATGTTTTAAGATCTAATAAAAAAATTTGCTTTGATTTTAAATAAAAAATCTCAGCATATTTTACTTTGTCTCCTAAATTTATAATTTTTTTTTGCCTAAACTCTATATTGATTACATATATAAATGGTGTTTTCTATTAAAAGAATAGTTTCCGATGCTGATGATTAGAAAGTATAATTTAAGAAAATCAACACAGTTTTTTTTACAAGTAATTTTCTTAAATAATTTTATTAATCTCTGTAAATTTGTTGTCTAACTTTTACATTTAGAATTTGAGAGAGTATTTCATGAATATAACTACTCCTCCGGTCCTTATTATAAGATCTAATTTGACTTTTTATTTGGTCCTAATTATAAGACCCAATCCATTTTGTCTCTTATATTTATGCATTTTTTTTCAAGATAATCCTTCTAATAATGATAGTTTTAGCCAATATACTTAATTAGCAAGGATATTTTAGGAATGACAACACTTATTTATTATAAATAACCAACTTAACTTACTTCCTTAATCTCCTCAAATAAATCAATTGGGTCTTATAATTAGGACCGGAGGAGTACTGTTTAGAAGAAGCGTAATGGCGGCTAAAAATAATGGATTATTAATTAAGTAATGTGACATATTTTAAAAATTATCTTGACTTATGGATTACCTCTTAAAAAATTTTCAAAGCAAACCATTCGCAGGATTAAATATTCTAGCTTATCGGCAGAGGGAAAAATACATGAATGAAATGTACTAAAAAAAATAAAAATATGTTTGACTTTTTCTCACCTCTAAATTTCAAGAGAAAGAGAAACAGCAGTCTTCGACTTATTGAGTGGGCCGTCCTCGATGGGCTACCCAAAATTCTTAAGCCCATTAGGTCTTGTTCACATTATTTACTCCCAATTTTATTTATATAATGCAAGCATGCTTATCTAACGCACCGAAACTGGCTCCAACTACAAACCCTGCTATCTTGGACTCCACGCAAGTATATGACTCAGGTTAAAAATTGTTAACAGAAAATATACCTTATTATTTTTTTTTTTGGCCTTGGAATTATACATGTTATAGAATATAGTGACATATAAAAAATAATGCAACAAATCATCGCGATATCCCCAAGGAAAAAAAAAAAGGTACACATGAAACAAATTTTTTCTTATTTCCCGCTTCTCTGTTTTTTAAATTTGTTGTCTGAATTGAGAGGATTTATAATTGAGCTAAACAAAGAAGTGTAGCAAAATAAAAACTTAATCACTATTGTTTTTCGTGACTCAAGGAAGGAGATACGTCCATTACACTTTTCAACAGCTCCTTTCTAGTTCGGAGCCCAATTCAACTGAACGAAAGCCCGACCCACTTATATTCTCCATATTTGTTTTCACCAGTGGATCAACAAGCTAAGCTAACGAGGCCATAACTCAAGATGTAGCTAGAGCCTACGCTTGATGGGATGACTCTAGCAGTGCTTAAGTACAGATACAACCTCAAAATCCAAATTGGTATTCTGAACCATCAGACATGAACAGATAATCATAGAGCAAGTACTCAACTATCGCATATATAGGTCATGCGTACAAATAATAGGTGAACTTAAGTTGTCAATGACATAAAAACTTAACTTGTTTAGTGTCTTCCTTTTCCGTGTCATCCTTCTCCCCCCTATTCAATCGTCACATTTCACCCAATCTTTCCCTCCCAAGACTAGGACGTGAAAGAGAGGGTGCACAGAATAACCCACATAGCTATTGTGGTTGAGTAGAAGAAAGACTTCAATCTAATTTCACTCACAAATCTTATGCTGAAAAACTAAGTGCAGGTTAAATAAGGTTGTCGGGTCAGCCCACTCTAATAAGCACCTGGAGTGGCTCAACTAAACATCTCAACCTTTTTGAAGATTTTGGAGGTTCTATCTCAGTCCATTCTTCGTTAGATCAATAATAAAGCAATCAAATGAAGGTAACATCTCTCCTTCCGGCATACTACCCAAACGGAACATCTCAACCTTCTAAGCTTTTAAAGGACCATAAATAGGAACCAAACTTGTCTTGGGAAATCCGACCTGCAATGGCTGCAAAGTTCTGGGTATTGGCCCTGGCTTGCCTCTGCTGGCCTCTGGCCCTCAGCAATGCCCAAGCACCAGAAGCTACACCCTCAAAATTACCAACTACAACATCAGCAGCACCTTCTAACTTGCCTACCAGAGTTCCTGCTGCAAGGCCAGCCTCTTCTGCTGCGCCAGTGGCAGCCACGAAACCCCCTGTTGTTGCAGCAACCCCATCAACTTCTCAGAAACCACCAGCAGCAACCCAGCCACCTACAACCTCCAAAGTTCCAGCTGCGAGGCCGGCCTCTTCTGCTGCACCAGTAGCAGCCGCAAAAACCCCTGTTGTGGCAGCAACCCAGCCACCTGCAACCTCCAAAGTGCCAGCCGCGAGGCCTGCCTCTTCTGCTGCACCATTAGCAGCTGCAAAAGCTCCAGCTGTGGCAGCTACACCATCTATTTCTAGTAAACCACCGCCAGCAACTCAGCCACCTGCAACCTCCAAAGTGCCAGCTGCAAGGCCTGCCTCCTCTGCTGCACCTTTAGTGGCTGCAAAACCTCCTGTTGTGGCTGCTACACCTACCACTTCTGCTGCACCATTGGCGGCTGCAAAAGCCCCTGTTGCAGCTGCAAGGCCTTCCCTGGCTGCTGCGCCACTAGCGGCTGCAAAACCCCCACCTGTGGCAGCAACCCCTTCTACTTTGAGCAAACCACCAGCAGCACCTCCCACTTCCGCCCCTGTAAAACCCCAGGCACCCAAGGTTGCACCAGCTATTGCCCCAGAAGCCCCACCTCCTAAAATTCCACCACCACAACCCCCAAAGAGTCCGCCTGTAGCAACTCCCATATTGCCACCACCATTACCACCACCATTAACACCACCACCAGTTGCTTCACCACCACCACTACCACCTCCAGTAATATCCCCAACACCAGACCAGGCACCACCAGCCCCAGCACCAGCAAAAAAAAGCCAGCACTAGCACCTGCACCCAAAAAGAAAGCACCGATACCATCACCTGTTCCATCACCACTGATGCCCACACCAACACCAGCCCCAGCACCACTGACAGAGACACCAGCCCCGGCACCTGATGAAGACACTCCAGAACCACCTCCCCACAAGCACAGGAAAAGAAAGAAGACTCACAAACACAAGCACAAGAAACATCAATCACTCAGTCCAGCACTAGCGCCAACAACCATCCGGAGTCCCCCAGCACCACCAGCAAATAAAACAAGTACAACAACGACTGTGGATTCAGAAGAAGACACAGATGCACCAGCTCCAAGTCCAGATTTAGTAAGTTATTTAACTGTTAAATATCATACAGGTTACAATTATACTTTCACTGTTTTACAATATGGAATTTGTTGACACTCATCGGCTTCACGGTATTTTAACTACATTTTCTAAATTTTAATTCACAGAGTGGTGCACCATCATACTACCACCAGGTGGGCAATTCAGGAGTATGGGCAACGGCAGGACTTGCTACTGCCATTTTGCTTGCCATTACTGGCTTCATCTGCTAACGGATTCACCCAAAAGTGCCATTTGGCTTGCAAAATATGAAGCGAAGAAACAAATAGTGAAATCCCACTACTAAAGGACATGATGGTGTTATTTCATTCTTTTTCCTTTTATTTTTAAATGTGTGTATTTTTTTATTGGCAATACTTTTCAAAATACTTGCTTGGATATAATAATGAATATAAACTTTCAAATTATCTAAATAACTTGGATAAGTTATGAAGAATATTACAATGTCTGTAATTATCCCATCAAACTTGATCAATTTCTGAGTCCGTGTTGGTTTTCCCCCGAAAGTCATATTCTGTGATGAGGCCAAGATTGTCAACTAATTTGTGATGCTGGAGACATCCTGCGCACTGATAAGATGCGCTTCCAATTATTCACAAGAGGATGAATACTTCCACAATATTTATAGAAACTAATTATGGCCATAAAAGAGCATGCACTGTATAAGCAATTAGCATAGCCATCACAAATATAATCTTCTTACAATGACGTTAGGACTGGCAACAACAATGTGCACGGGAATCTTAAAGCCAATCAAAGACCATGAATAAAATCCATAGTTTTGAAAATTGGACTGAACCAGTCGGTACCATGTTGGAAGAGGAAATTAAGGGAAAGGGGAAGGAAAAGGAAAAAGTACTAGTATTTGAGTATTTTCTCAGGAGGCACAAATTTGTGTTACACTTTACTAACTTTCAAATATGGTGCCTCAGCGTTTGGATCATTTATGCATATGGCAAGGAAACCACTGAAAAATTGATGCACCACTGAACTTGGCCTCGAATTTAAAATACAAGCAAATGTAAAGGGGAATAATAGTAATAAAAAAAAAAAAAGGACTCTAAATTCAGTAATTTAACCCGCTTCTTTTGTTTCTAAAGGGGACAAAGTTCCACAAGATCAGTGTCAGATTACCAACTGACATATAAAAAAGAATTAATTTGTCTGCAAACATCAGGAAAATGAAGCATTTAGCTCAACTGTACAGGTTAGCAAGCAACAAGCCATCAAAGAACCTACACAAATGCTATATACTTTACACCCCGCCATTTTTAAACTCCAGTTTCATGCACAATTGTTGGTTATTATTCTTTAAAAACAAAAAATTGATTAAACAAGTTTTGCCAGAAATCATGATATTTAGCATATGACCTGCCAAGTAGCAACCATCATGAAACTCTACATCCGTAAACCTGGAAAAGGTCAATGAACCTGCACTTCTCTTTGCGTGATTTCATATTGCTAAGAAGATTTATCACCTCTAAACTCATTTCCCTTCATATCATTATTATTATTATTTTCTCCAAAAGAAAATAAGCAACGGTCAATACTTGAGCGGAAGCAGAAATCCAGCCTCCTACAATTTTATGTCGTATCTATTATAGAAACAAACCATCAGCTGAAAACAGTGAGAGAAGCCCTTCACTGAGACAATTATGTTACTATTTCTCTCATAATAGACCTATCCATTAATGTTATATTAAACCAGTAAAACTAAAGTATTCTCATATTCTTCAACAGAGTCATAGAATAAACACCCATGATGAAAGAATTATTTGTGGGGAAAAGCAATGAAGGTCACAGCTTTAGATCATAATATGAAATTCACCGATTCTGCATGCATGTTGCACCATAAAAGAACAAAGAGTTAATAAATACCTGAACAAAAATCACACCCCTTTCATAGGCTAATCGGTTTACAAGTCTCCTTGTTCTTTCACCGCACAAATTGCATGTAAATTCTACAAGCATGCTTCTTCTTGGCAGCTTTAAGTCAATACTAGCACCCTGCATAATGGACATAAAGTCATTATAGAATTATTATTATTCAACGCAATGTCAAGGAGAATCATAAATCAATATCAGGAGATAGAAGATGCACTTGGGGGGATAACAAGTTCCGGGTCCGAAATATTGGCTCCAATCTCGATGCTTCAATTATTGCCCATATTAACAAACAAAATTTGAAGCTCAGAATGAATTTTATAAAAGAGATGAGTTATACACTGAAATTAAACAACTTAGAACAATACTAATCCTTTTTCCTCCTTAATGATGATAGGATTTGATGAACAAAGAAATGCACTTTCAATATTAATCACTTGTCCAGAAAAAATCAACGAAACATAATGCAAGAGTGACAATAACAATATTATATATTTATTTTCCTAACAAAATATCAACCAAAGTCACAAACCGCTTCAGAATTATCGGATTCTGGTTCGGGGCCAGTCGCAGAATCACCATCCACTACCGCGCGGAGCTTAAAAGCCCGACGGGAGACCACCGCTGTTGAACCCGAAAATTTCAACCTGAAAGCAATAAAATGTAGTTAGTCCAACCGAACAAACCCTAGAAAAAGGGGTCCTTAGATGGTAACCTGTAGTTGGAAGCTCTAATAGAAGGAGTTCTTAGCCCAGAAACAGAAATTGGCCTGAAAAAGTTGCAGTAGTGTGACGGAATGGTTAGCGATTTTACGTCTGTAGGGAAGGAGAAAGAAGCAACGGCAGAAGGGAAACGGTAGAGTGCGCTTGCCGCCATTCTTCGTTTTTGCCTTTTTGGCACTGAACTAGTTAATGATCATAATATGCCTTTTTTTTAAAAAAAAATTGTGTCTGTTACGAAAATCATTTTAATTTTCACAACAATTTTTAGTACGCCCTGAATTTTGATTAGTTACATTCTTTTTAAATTCAAAATAAAAAAAATAATTTAAGCTGATGTAAAGTAAGCTGTAAATTTAGGGCAGTGAAAGATTTGGTACATAAATTAGTAAATTGCGTTCATTGCAATATTAAAAAAAATTCATTGCTGTCATTTTTTTTAATGTAAGGTGCTAATAGTTAATTTTTTTTATATGTAGTAAAAGGGCGTCATCTTCCAAATGCTAATAATTAAAAATTTTATAATTTTATTTTTTTTAATATTTTAAATTGCATTCATTAAATTTTTTTTTCTCTGTTCTCTTTAATTTCTTTTATACCAAACAAACAGTTACCCTTTGTTTGTAAATTTTAGTATTCCCTGTCTCTATTTTACTCTCACTTTTCTTTCTATGCAAACATAGCCTAAAAGTCACTGAAAAATAAAGGGAGTTACATACAAAACTTCAAATGATTCGTGTATGATTGCTCTCTACCTAATGGGCTAATTGTTTCTCTTTCGTTCATGGCAACAACAAGATTTAGAGAATGGAGCAAAAGTACAAGAAGTGTCACCAAGATAGAGATTTACCCAAAAAAAAAAAATCTATTTTTTGAATTAGCGAAATAAATACTAATAGTATGAGATTATAAGTATGACTAAACCCACTAGTTTCTACTTACTGAGGAGCTTATATGTTATTAAGTGATTAGCAAATCCATTCATCCTTTAAATCAGGTTAATCATTGAAACTTTACTTTACCTAAAAGTTGTGTACAAGAGGATGATACAAAAGTAGATGGAAAGCCTTGAAAGTTTCCACTAAGAACAAAAGTAACCAAGTTGAATGTTGATGCATGTTACATCAACTTGAATGGGAATAACTAATCTTGTTCCTTCAGAAATGATGCCAGTCAAGTGTCAATAGGCCATTACTCTTCCTCATCCACTTCATGAAAAGGAAGTGGTACTGTTTTGACTGCTCTAAATTTGCCTGCATTATTCAGATGCTCATTCTCCAACCTGTACCAACCAACATTTTATTGGTTAGATCATATGAAAGGTTTTTTTTTTCCTGAAAAAAAGAAGGCTACTTGAGCGTACCCTTTTTTTGGCTTTTACAGTGATAATGATGAACTGATTGAATGTTACAGACACCTTGGATGAAAATTGAAAGATGTGAGAATGAAGGGAAGCTAATTAATGTACCTGTAAAAATTCCATATCCCTCTTCTAAGAACTTCAAGAGCTGCTAAAAACAAGGTTGTTACTCTGTAGTCAACTTTTTCAAAACTTGAATGCAGGACAGTTTGCAGCCATGCAAGCCTCAGAATAACGTTTAATCCCTGCATAAATATCCAAGCTTTTTAGTGATCATCTTCAGCTTTAATAGTGAATGGACAATATTGTATAATCCCACAATGTCTTCATCTCAAGAGAATATCTAATGCTATTGATTTGAGATCTCATTTCAACGAGAATAATGCTCTTATCATCATTTGTTTTATGCTTTTTCTCCACTTTGTGGGAATTCACCACAAATATGGTTGTTTTTAGATCTTACACCGTAATAGCTGACTAATTCTCATAATTATTATTTTTTGCGTGCCAATTGTATGATAATGGCTTAAATCCACTTTGATCTGTCTTCTTTACAGATCATACTCTACAAATCATCTATAAATCAAGCTAAAAGATTATAATTCTTGTTATAAATTTAAAACTAGAATATCACGTTATTCTGAGGCTTGCATGGCTGCAAACTGTAAGATGATTTGCTCTATAGAGAAGCCATAATCCATGACCTTCAACTAATTCACTTATCTGATTAGATAAAAAATGATCTGTGACAAAATTTAGAAGATTCATAAGCATATTTCTTGCAATTGGCTTTGAGAAATGGGTAAGGTTAATATTCAAATAAGAGACAACGCACATAATAACAAGTTTGCCTCTAATACTAAACCATAAGTTATAGATTCTTTAGAAGGAAAGAGACTGATGTATACCATGGAGAAGTAGTAAATGAATTTTTGGCGAAGGATTAATTCATTCCTAAGCCACGGGTTATAAGAGTTCATATGGAGCAAACCCCAGTCCTTCACAAAGTCCCAATACAATTGGTACACAGTGGCTGCACTTGATATGATCACAAGAAGACATAGATATCCAACACCCCCATCTTTCTCATAAGCCACTTTAGCTCCTGCAGCTAGCATTGCCGATACGTATTTGCCTAAATTCACAAGGTGGCTTGTCTTCCCTTCATCAAACCATCTTCTAGCACACTACAAAACCAATCTAGGGACATCAGAACTTTTCATTTCTGGATCATGAGATCTAAGAATAGGAGAAATCTTCAGGTGCAGTTCTTAGCTGCTTGCTGTAAGAGTGAAATTACTTAAGTATTGTTCAACATAATGTGTTGTAAGAGTGAAAGAAGGCTAATTTCTCTTGCCTGCATGGCCCTCCAATAATAAGGTAAAAACGACACAGCATAAGCAAGGTCTCTGTAGTGTTTTGTCCTCATGCAGTATCCGTAGTCCTGGGCTTTGTAGCTGCCAGTTATATAATAACATGCCACATACTCCAAGTTCCTGAGCATTGGCACCTATACAGAAATGGCATAACATAATTGTTAAGAATATTCCTCATTGATTCCATTTTTATGCTGCATTGCTAACAAGAAGAACCATTCCTTTTTGTGATGACAAAGAACTTCTGGATATGAAATGCTACCTGACTACAAAGTTGATCGGCCATGAAAAAGTCGAGCATGACAACCTATAGAGACAAGAGGGAAGCTAATAAGATGAGATCATGGCCACCACAAGGCATACTTAATTATTCAGCAGATATACTTTTGTGTCAACAAGGGTGGCTTTACTGACAGGATCAACTTGCATAGGAATAGAGTGTCTTGTTGATAAATATTCACTAATCGGGGTTCGTTTTATTTTATCTATGCTTATCTATTCCTATTTTTTTCCTTATCCATAAAGAAACTTTTTTTCTTGTCAGGAAAAGAAAAGAGTTCTCTTTTTCTTTTTCTTTGTGGAGAAATAATGTACCTTGTAAAGGGGTGAGAAAACTATGTTCCTTACCACACAAAGGAAATGGTAACGGCTTGAACGGTAGATAATGTTGAAGGGGCAAAAAAGTATAAGCAAGAAGACCTGTGCATGAAGTGAGAAGTGAAAATTTCATCTGAGACTTGTAGGTATTATGTGACATAAACATGCTAAAAGAATCATGACAATCTGAATAAGTAATCAAGAAATTACCAGTAAAAGTAGGCCAGCAATGGCTTGAGCTTGGGCATAAGAATACCCTTTTGTCAGCATTGTTAGATGAAGAAACATAACCCCAACCACAGCAGTCATAGCCATTGTACAAATCAAGAATACATCTCTAAACTTGAGCTCCTTAGTAGGGCCAAGCTCAAAAATGAAGCTGTAGTTTATACGAGTTTTTCTCCAGGCAAAGATGTTGCAACCATAAAGAAAGAAATGTAGAAAGATAAGACTGAACATGCTGCAAAAATTTTAAAAATAACAGTTAAAAGCCACTTATAGATGTTTAATTGTCAATGCAAGATGCAGGTAAGAATGGAAGAATGTCATGCTAATTTTAATAAAGCAGGTTGACTTTACCTAAATATAGGGTGAACAGTTTCCATATAGACTGAGTTTGGTTGTCTTCTGTAGAGACCAGTTATATGAGCCATTATAACATATCCAGCAAAAAGTGCCAAGAGGCATCCAGTTAATAACCCTGATTATATGTGAGAGTTAGTATCATACATGAATTCCTGTGTTAGATTGACAAATTTGAAGGAGGATTTTTTTATCTACTTGGTTTGCCTGCAAGAGTTATGTGTAAAGCTACAAATATGGAATCAGATAGTCATGATGAAGCACAAACTGCATCAAGGGGAGGTGTCTTTGAAATCCATCTAGGCATTACACGTCATTTGTACTTAGACGCAATGCTAAAAGTTTGAATTCTGGCTATGCAAATTTATTGGTGCAAGACTGACCAAATTCTTTGCACCTCCCCTGCTTCTGATGATAATGACATTTCTAATCAAAATGTGGAGGCGGTAGAAACTAGTCCTAACACTACTTGACTGATTCAATTTAAAAAATATACAAAAATAAAAGAGAAGATCTATAATGCTTTCCCTATAGCTTTTGATGGGGCTTTAGCGTTCACTCTGTGGTACGGTTATATAGTCTGAAAGATGATATAGCAAGCCATGGGACCAGTACTTTAAGTCCAGCCAAAAAGTGGGCCGTTGGTGACATTCTTTTGTAAACCTGGTGGCTTAATGTGTCCATAATATGATTTCTTTAATCACATATGGCTGCAAGAAAACAAGCTTAAAGTTCTCTGCCAAAGTGATGTATCACCAAAAGACATGTTATAAAAGGAAAAAATGCTAGCAAGTCCAGGATTTGGGCTAATAAAAGTACTCACCAATGAAGAATGTTACAGTGTAAGATTCTTTACGTTGACTTGGTCTAAGGTATTTCATGGCCTTTGTTCGATCATCTTGGGCAAAATTTTTGACAAATAGTTCCTCAATTTCGTCAGCTAGCTTCATTACCTGTCATATGTGAAGCTAATATTGAGCATACTGGTTCACAAAGTTGAAAGTTTGTAGCAGGCAGTAAGTCATAAGACAAACATCTCTCTCTCCCTCTCCCTCCCTTCCCATAATGAATGGTTCTGAGGTCATATTGGAAATATATAGGATTATTAGCCACTTGAGCTTGTCGGTGAGCTTGCAGTTGAAAGGATAACCGGTGGCAAACATGTTGGCACTATTCAAAATATGCTATCGAACAGATTTGTTAAATTCGAAGTAGATATGTTAGTCTATTATTTACCTTGTCTGAACTGTTGAAATACGAAGTCTCTACTACCTTAAGATAAATGGGAAGAATTTGTTTCTCCGTGACCTGAACAGCAACAAAAGAGGAAAAAAAGAAGAAGAAGAAATCCTTTTCATTACACATGTAGACCAAGCTACAATTTCATACATTAAGTTTGAAGTCTTTATTTCACTTGCCTTGTCATACTTCTTCAGTATCTTCATAAATGCAAGCATATTCAAATTCCTGAGAATTGATATAATAGGGAAAACATTAGAGTTTTGCCAAGTGTATCACAGCAAGGAAATATCGGATTATACCTGTAAACTTTGAGATATTCTAGCCCCTTATAGAGCTCAATGAAACCTCCTTTGATCATTTTTTCTGCATGATGCAATTTGGTTTTATTGAGATGAATCTTACCACCTTCTGGACCATAGTTCCTTGATGACTGGGTAATCAAATCTTCCTTTAGCAGATAGCTAATTGCTGAGATGGCACGGGAAGGCGTCGTCAAAGGAATGTTGATCTTCACATTCTTCCCTTGGAAACTAACAGTACGGCCAGAAAGTGTCCTCAATTTTCCATCTTCTCTTTCCATTGATTTCTCAGCCTCATCAAATTGAGGAAAGTCTGAAAATGACATGCCATTTTTCTCTAAATCATCTGTGCAATTGCCTTGCATATCTTCTTGCTGTGCTCTGCTTCTAACAGAGTCCTCCTCTGCAGCCAGTGAACATAGCAGAAGTTACACATGATTCTACATTGTACATCAAATTGGAAAAAAAAATAATTATACATAAGAGCAAGGCCCCTGGATGAACAGATTGAGTACTCCCGTTGATGCATTTGAAAGAAGAAAACTTTGAATGCGTACCACAAGGGAATGTGCATGAAATAGATTGGTCTTCCTTAGAGTATTGGGAAGAGCCTCCTTTGCTTTGTTGCTGCTGCTTGAAAGCAGATTTGAGCTCAAGGAGAATGTTCATTTGTTTTATCAGAGAGTCACCGCTTTCCACGAACTCTCGCTCCTTCATTTCATAAAACCTATTGACCTTGTTTAGTTGTTGGTCCAGACAGGCGAAAAATTCTTTAGCAGCATCAGCATCAGCGTCAGCATCATCAAATTGCTCTAGCAACTCAGTCTCATACATGTCCCCCTTACCAGCTGAGGTTGCAAACTTCCTATGGACCTGAAAAGGACCGAAAAGCAAAAGACGGAAAAGAAAGAGCTAAAATGAATCAGTTAAGTGCATGCCACTGAATAAAATGATGTTCTGCATCTTAGTGTTGGAAGGAGGAAGTACTTGGATTGGTCCATGATCTCGGTGATGATGGCCAAACAAAGAGTACTTCCTTAGTGATGAAATGAGGTATTTATGTGCAGAGAAGCCATTCTGGTGTTTGTTGGGAGTATTGTTAATATTGTTAAGAAGGTGGAAATTATTGAGCTCTTTCTTGAGTTGACAGTAGTCTAAAAAGGCTTCCTTCCATTCTGGAATAAGCTGACTCTCAAACTGCTTAGAGAACTTCACCATCTTGTAACACAAGAGACAAGAAAGAGGTTGTGGCTAATGTGTGTTGCCTGGTGGTGAGTATTCAATGGAAGGCCAGGATGGCACCATATATATAGGTCATGGAAAAAGGGATTTGGTTGATATGTAGTATTGATGCTCTGGAGCACATCCTAAAATATCCTTGGATATTATACTGCTACTCCACTTGGGACTAGCAAGGCAAAGTGAGTGGACTAGACAGAAAGTGGCCAAACTGCCAGGGGATATATAGAGTGATTTGCATGGGAGGACATATTCTACTGTTCAAAATTATGTGTGAAGGATGGTCATGCTTTGTCATTCATGATAACTAAATCAAGTTTTCAACCTTATTTTACAAAAACCATTCTGAGCAAGAAGTATTAATGAATAATGAATAATATAAGAAAACTTTTAGTGCCAAGTCAAGAATTGGTCATTTATTTGATGTAAACTGGGTTATAATACTAGCTCATTGAGGCCATCTCTATTGTGCCCGACCATTTCCAGTAACCGCGTATAGCTGAGTCTCAAGCATCTCCAAGTCTTCACTTTAATTAAATAGACCCTTTTGCTTACTACGCAGAGTTATAATTCACATATGCCTAACAGAACAAATCCATCACTTAGTGTGTCAGAAGAATTTATATAATGAGTTTTTTGCAGTCTAATTCTGAGCTTTTGATTGCGCACATTTAGACCATGGAGCAATGAAAAGTAACCCTCCTCTTTGTTATGCCAACTTAGAACAACTAAAAAAGATCTCATGATCCAATAGAGAATATATAGTTTTGTTACTAATAGGAGATAATAACTGCGATGATACCTGAGCACTATTAGGAGGAAAAGAAAGAAAGATCTCTTGGATTTGTTTCCATCCAAGTTGTACTTTCAGTGGCAATTTTACATCTCTAGATTACTGAAGGTTAGCCAGGATACTTCCAAGTCATTTAGTAGATTCTGTGCATCTTTAATATTATAGCACATTATCCCAGCCAACTTTAATAATATCAAATTCTCATAATGGAATGCTTCCTTCATGCTACTTACTCAGGATAAGAACTATAATGGTATGGCATAGATTATTTATTAATAATACTATAGACGCTGAAAATATCACTCAACAATAGTGGCTATAATGAAATAAGTTCCATGTTCTATTCCTTTGTTCTAAGCCCACTCCACGTCCCAACTTGTGAGCATGATGGAACCCATTCTCTAGTCTAATCTAAACACTTCAAAATCTGTATGCATAGCTCTTTTATGGTTATTTCTCTCAGACATCAACACAAATACAATGTGGTCAATGGATTACAGCATTTGTTCATTGCTGTGAAGTTCTGTTCTAAGTCAGGGAAGTCCGAAGAGGATACCACATTTGCAAAAGAATTAAAACTTGGCTGGCTTGGCTTAATGCAAATTTTAGTTGAAAGGAATTGGGAGCTAAGTCCAAAAAGGAGGAGACTAAATAAAAATATACACAACTTAAAATCTTAAGAGTTGAGATCGTAAATCGTTCTTCTTTATTATACATCAATTATTAAGCCCAATTTTATTTGATGTGGGACTTCTTACCTTACTCAAGTTTACTCAGGTTTGAACATCTAAACATCAACCATTAATGGAAAAGCATATAGAAGCAATTGCAAGTTGCAATCGCTTGTACATAAAATAATGAAATCACCATTTTAGGTAAGTATTAAGTAATTACTACCCTCGGTTCTAATTGTAAAACCTTGTTTATAGTCTATAAATAAGGTCTTATAATTAGAACTGGAGGTAATAATTAGCAAAAAGGAGAGCAAATTTTGAGGGAAAAAGAAAAACTTATCTCTAAACTGCTTCGGATGCCATACATGTGCAAATTTTCAGTTTTAGCGTCACTTATGTTGTTTTTTCTTCCGGGGGTATAACTTATAATTGGCTACACACAGAGGGTCTTACATGCTAGATGTGAAAAATAAGTCATATTATGAATAAAATGATTTTGCTATAAATTTTATTCTCTGTATTAAATATTGATATTAGTGATTCTACAGAAGTCTTATTCCTAAGTTCATTTTTGAGTAACTATGAAAGATTATTGTTTATAATCTGATTCCTTAAACTATTGTGATTAATTAATTAAGCCAAACAGGTGAATGTAATATTCTTTCTTGAAATGTCATGAAATATTCTTTGGAATATTATTCAGGGAACCAAAACGCCAGGGCAAGTACTTAGAAATAATTTTTCTCCAGAACAAACACAACCCAAATACTACCTCTAGTCCTAATTATAAGAGCTAGTTGACTAATTTGAGGAAATTAAGAAAATAAGTTAAGTTAGTTATTTATAATAAATATGTATTGTCTTTCTTAAATTATTCTTACTAATTAAGTGTATTGGCTGTAACTATCATTGTTAAGATGACTATTTTGAAAAAAATGCATAAATATGAGAGACAAAGTGGATTGGGATATCATATTTAGGACTAAAATAAAAATCAAATAAGGTCTTATATTAAGAACCGAAGGTAGTATAATTAATGAATTTGAAAATTAAGTATCCCATTAAAATCTTTTGTCTTGTGTCTACCACTATTTATTCCTGTAAAATGACATCATCAGCTTGTGAATACTGCTTTTTGGGCCATGCTATTTAATTACACTTGAGTTTAATTATTTGAGTAATTGAATATTTAGAGTTTGAATTATTTAAAGTTATATTGCAATTGCATGGTAGACTGTGATTTTAAAACTACACTACCAGATTTAGATACTTTATATCATAATTTCTTGGGAGAATTATAATGAGGTCTCAAAAAAGAAAAAAAAACTACAAAACGAATCCTAAAAGTTGTCATTATCTACTCTAGAACTTGTTATTATAGGTTATTTAGATTGTTACTAGAACTTTTTAGTAATTATTAATTTATCTTTCGTAGTACTTGATTGTAATTCTCCCTAATTTTTTTGTGTACCTGCGTCTCTCTTCTTTCTTTGTTTTTAACTGTACCTATTATGTTTTTCAGTCTTACATATAAGATTTAGATAACTCATTTACATAGATTAAGAAAATTAGTTAAATTAATTATTTATAATAGATATATGTTGGTTTTTCTAAAACATCTGTTTAATTATTTGCATTAAAAATAACCTTTGATGAAAATTTTTTCATTTGTGTAATCAATATGATTGTTTAAGAAAATAATTATAAATTTGTAAGACCAAGTGAGTTAATATCTTAATTAATTCTTACATTACTTAGGAAGTGAAGCAAACTTTTAAATTCTACATTTAAAACCAAGTGGAGTATTTGGTACTTCTAGGATTAGATTTGATTATTATTGGACCTCAAACAAGGGTTAGATGATCACAAGACCAAACAGTAAGAATTCTCTTAAAAATGATAAAGGAAGATCGAAGAAAACGTTTAATGGAGTCAATGGAGTCATTGAATAAGATTTTTTAGTTAACAACCTATCTAACAATATGATTATTGATAGAATACAATGATATCGTGTGATCTATATAATCCACCCTATTATGAAATAAGGCTTGTTGTTATTGTTTTTTTTTTTTCCTTTCATGCATTCATATGAATTTAAATATGAGATCTTGTACTTAAGTTGTAATTTCTTTGACTAAAACTAAAGTATGTTGGTTGAATCCGCATTTCTACTTGTTGAAAAAGATAGTTAAAGAAACACTATGGAACACCTGTAAGAGCAATATCCTAAAAAAAAATAAGAGTGCTAAAAAGGCTATCTCTGTTTGGGAATAAAGGGCGTGAAATTCAACTCAATGAATGGGTTGAATGTTTAATGATGGACAACAGTAGATCCACTTTTTATTTTTGTTAAAACATAGGTATCCTCCTATTCGAGGCAATCATATTCGAGACATTGTCGGGTGCTAAATGTGAGCACTTCTCCTAGTGAGAATTCGAATCTTGGTTCACCACTCTATGAGGGATTAGTCTATTCTGTTAAACCCAATCCCCGTAAATCTACTTTTTATTATTATTACCATAAGGGAAAATCTGTTTGCTTTTGTCTTAGTCTTTCATTAATTGGGACCATCTTTTTTTTTTTTTAAAAGCACTTTCTTTTGGTATAAATGTGGTCCAATATTCAAAGTGTCACTCCTAGAATTTTTAGAAAAAGAATAATCACACTGAATTATGAAATTTTGGGTTAATGCACGTATCCAAATTAAACAAACCTCTTTTCTAATTAGAGAATTGTGTCCAGAAGAAATTAATCCAGCAATATTGAGAGTGAAGAGTTAGAATTTAGAAAATTTGATTCCTACACAGTAATCAGAACAGGTCGCAAGAAAACAGAATTATGAGAATACTGACTTAGAAAAAAATTCTGCGAAATGAGAATATGATTCTCTCTGTATTATGGTTCAATTCCCTGAAGAACAAAATGGATTAGGAATAAGAATATCCTACTTTAATTTATAGTAACCAAGATTTCTAAATTAAATATTTCATAATTATTTGACACACCCTTATTTCAATATTTTAACTTGATGATTATATATGTTAACGTATCATTTTATTGTTCATCCTTATCTACATTGATCCCTGGATTTTCTTTAAATATTGCAATTGAAAAAAAAAACAGAGCATAATAGCTTTAAGTTAAATAGTGTAAAGTATAACCACCAGAATAACTAAATATGTTATGGTTGTGGGAACTCTGATATTTTATGTTTTAATCACAATTAAATATTTAATAAATTTCCTGATTGTTAGCTGTAGTTAGACAATGTAATAATCTTTGTTAACGAATATACTACATTTTATTGTATTAGAAGACTAAAATCAAGATATAATAAAAAATTAAATAATTACGTGCACACTTATATTGGAGATCAAAATTTGAATTATATATGTGTGTGTGTGTGCGCGTGTGTGCTGGAGGCATATTTGGTGAGATATAATCTCCCCCAACCCACCACCTTTATGTGTCAAAATAATGGCTGCCTAAATTCCAATATAGGAGACTTTGA